GTCTTAAACTCATTAATTCTGTCACCAGCTCTTTCAGTGTCCCATGGTTTCCATCGTTCTGTGCCAAGAATCCTGCCCTAAAATACTGAGTATGTGGAAGTCACTGTGGCACACCCTTCACACTTGCAGATATGGGCTGCTGTGCTGTGGGTGTGCGAACAATAGTACAAAGCTATGCTTAAATCTGTAAAGCTGGGTACAGTGGGAAGCTTATGAGTAATGGATATGCAATGCACAGTGTCTTCACAGCTGATGAAATTCCAATTTTCACTTAACAGCTGGGCAAGTTCAAGCCTCCCGTTTTCCTCCTGCACTTTCATTATTCATATTTATCTTGGAAGTCAGCACAGGATAGCAAAAAACCAAGACTTTCACCTACCTGTAAATGCCTAAACACTTCCACTACACAGTTTCTCTTATAGTATCAAAAGTAATATATCCAAACCACATCTGAGTTTTCTAAAGCCTGTTTAAAACATGTGGTCCTTGCCTGTCTGCATCTGTCTCATGAGCCTTTCTACATCCTTCTGAAAAACTAATTACCTGTAAAACACACACAGGCATTTCCCTCACTTGAGCCCTTCAACACGGCCTGAGAGTTTTGGGGAGTCCAGCAGCAGGTGCAAAAGGCATCACTGGAAATCAACAGACCATTTGTAGCAATGAAGGGCATCCTGTGACTTGCCCATTTTGCACTGTCACGTGCCAAAACCTATTACATCAAGTGCACTGACAACTCATGGACCTTGCAAGGAGTCTCATGTTTTATTTATAATGGGTGATGGTGAGCATCTGTGGCGGTTTTTATGCTGTGCTGGCATTAAGCTGCTACAATACACTGAGCGCACCACCTTCTCGTGGATGTTTTGAAAGAGATGAGTAACGGCGAATGTCACAGCTGTCATAAGTGAATGTCACAGCTGTCATAAATTATGCGGTCATCGTCCCCTTCAATAACTTACCTGAGTCTTGAAAAAGAAAAGGAGACATCCAAGTTCTGCAAATGTGATTGAGAAACCGGAGTTACTGAAGGTCTGCTGTGTATCTATAGATTTACTTAACTATGGTGAATGTAAGTTGTGGTGGAAAACTACCACAAGAATAACTTTAATGAAGGTAAGTCTGCACTGGGAGTAAAATACACGGATTATGGAAGAAAATTTCCATTCAGAGTGTTCTTTAGTACTCTAATCCCTGTATGTATTCTCATCAATTTAAAGCAGTTTCCCATGTAAACTGAGATCCCAGGTTTTCATAACACTAAGCCTTGAATTCAGTTTCTGCTGTTGCACAACTTGTTTGTGTCCCTAGTTGTTTCTGCACTTTGGATATACTCAAATACTTCTGAAGAACTAATGGAAAAAGCTTAAACTCTGATAAAATGTAATATGGTCTAGGAATGTTTTCTTAAACTCACTAAGAAAATAGGAATGCTCTTTGTTTGTGCTTACCTGAAAATTTCCTTTCTGCGGATTACAGAGGTCCTTCCTTCTTACAGCTGCTCTGTAGCAGGACAGCAATACCCTAACACATGCAGATCTTACAGCAGCACCAGATTTACAGTTTCAGATACATGAATTATTTGGGAAATATAAAGGTTATGTTAAGCTTATTTGGAGGAGTAAATATCTTATTTTCTCTCTGGCCTCACCCCCCCACAGTTTTGCTTTTCACATTGGAATAAGACCCCTGTGTCTTTGGATGCTGATTTGCTCTGTTTTGGACAAGATTTCCCCCAGACCGAACTATTTTATGAAACATTATTTGACTAAAAGAGACATCCAGGAAAATGGGTGCTCAAAGGTACACAACCCAGCATGATGAAATTTTCATGGTACCATCAGGAGGCTGGATTCTTCTCCCTTTCTTTCCTCCTCAGGGTTAGGGCATGGAGACACATTTTTTTCAGAGAGAGACTTTTTCTCCAAGGCTCTTCTGCAGGGAAGGGGGTCCCTCTGTGGATAGCTAATGGATCAGGGGCTCAGCTGGATGCTTTTTTCTCTGACTGACTAAAGCTGTTTGCTCCTGCGTTGAAGCAGACCGGTGCAAATTGATGGTTCAAATCCAAAGGGGCTGTCTGAGAGTCTCAAAGGCAACTGAGATAAATGATCTACTCAACTCAGCGTAGCACCTTGCACCAGTGACCCATCATCTGCAGTGGGGCTTTTCTCCTGCCAGGCAGTTCCAGTTCACCCTGCAACCTGTATCCATTTCTTAGCATCTCCAGGGACACTAGACATTTTATTCCTCTTTTTGAAGGTTCAGAATAGGCTTGATGTGCCAGAAGGCTTCTTTCTGTACCCAATGCTTTGAGGTTGAGAGATGCCATGCTGTCTACCCACAGGGCAACCTCTCAGAGAAGTGCAGGTTTGACTTTCACTGCTATCACTGTTTCCCTTGCAGCAAGTGATAAGCTGATGGTGGTCACAGTGGACAAGCTGAATACACCCTGAGGATCCCCCTTATCAAAGGACTGAGGGCAATGATTATGTGCAGTCCTTTGTTTGCAGGTGAAACTGGGCTGTGAGGGGCTGCTTCAAAGAAACAGGTGAGTTTGTTTTCAGTGCTAACCCTGAAGGTTGCATGCAGGCAATGCATACCTGTGTGCATGGGGCAGGCAGCAGGGAAAGGCTAAAAGAAATGGTAGGGCTGACAGGAACCATCTCCCCTACCTTTGTTTACTGCTCCAAATGCGGATTATTGTCCCATACTAACTGCCAGTTGCTGCTCAGAGGTGGTGATGGGGTACAACCACCTGCAGCAGGAGGTGGGAAGCCTGGTTTGCTCTGGAGGGCAGGACCGCCTGCAAGGGCATCTGGGGATGACAACCTTAGTCATATGAGTGTGCCAGAAAATCTCTGCTCTTGTATTACACCTTCCCAGCTCCCACAGTAAAGATTTTCAAGTTGGCTACAGGATACCAAGCATGGCCTCGTTACAGTTGGAAAGAACAGTGTTTTGGATTACTCTGATGGTATTTGGCTTGTCCTTCACCCCAAGACATAGGAAAGCTTCTTTTTTCCTGCCTTTTGAGAAGTATTTCTGGGATTTTTCCCTCTCTTCTCCTATACTTCTCCCTGTGAAGGTGAGTGGAGGAAACAGCCCTGATGTTTATTTCCTCCTCACAATTATTTCCTAATGATCTTTCTTCATGGTGTCAGGGAAAAAACAAATTCAAGGTACAAAGCTCTCAAGAAGACGACAATCACTGGGTGGTGGCTTTCTTTGTGGTCCCTCTGCTTGCAGCATTTGGGGACCTCGGCAAGTTTGTGGATGACATCAAGCTTACTGGTGTAGTTGCTTGAGGGAAGGGATGTCACCCCCAGTTACCTCTCAGGGTCTCAAGGCCTGAGGAGTTGGCCAGTGTGAACCTTACAGGGTTGGAACAAGGCCAACTGTATGGGCTTGGGCAATCACCAGTATCAGTAGACTGCGTGATGAAGGGATTGAGAGCAGCCTTGTGGATAAGGATATGGTGGTACTGCTGCATAAAAAACTGGATTTGAACTGGCAATGTGCCCTTACAGCCCAGAAAGCCAATTGCATCCTGTGTGGCCAGCAGGTCAAGGGAGGTGATTCTCTCCTGCTCCATTCTGGTGAGACCCCCACCTGGGTACTGTATCCAGCTCTGGGGTCTGCAACATCAGAAGGACATGTCAGAGCATGCCAGACATCCCTGTAACAGACTTCCCAGCCAATTACAGCATACCAGTCTAGAAATCAGTCTTAATTTCTGACTCTATCACTACTGTGAGTCACAGCAAGTTTGGAAAAACTCTTTATTCCTATCTCTTCATAAGCATAATAATGCTCTAGAGCTTGTTGGTGTTCACAGTGTTAAATGTATGTTTAAGGTATTATATAAATTATACTTATTGTAAAGGCTCACGTAATCACTTCTAATCAGAACCATAACATTTTCTTGTTTGGCTTACATTACCTCAAACATAACCCTTTGAGATCTCTCTCTGTGTGTATATATATGTATATATGAAGTATACAATAAATAAGCTCTACTATGGTTCAAAAGAGCCTCATCTGGGCAATGGCTGTGAGCCAGACAAAACTGAAAAGAGTGAGAACAGCCAGAATCAAAATTGTCTCTTCCCCCCCCCAAAGCTGACAAACCTTAAAGAGCAGCCTTCTTTTTCTCACTCCCTCATCTATGAAGACCAGTGATCTATTTCATCTGCCTCAAACAGAGGATTCTTGAAAGATGTTCTCTTAAATTTATTTTCTCATCCCTAGGGCATACAATTACTTCTGTTCACTCATGCTTTGCCTGTTTAGATATTGGAAGGATACATGTACTTTCTGTCACTGTTATAGCATTCCCACGGCAGCCAGCACGTGGTCCCGACTTGGGCTCTACCCACCACCGGCTGTGGAGTCAGCAAGCCAAACCTTGTTTAGGGGCTTACAGAAGCAAATGGTATCTTTACTAAGCTGGTACTCGACCAGTGTGTTCTGAACTCTCAGGTTCTGATCTGCGCTCAGTGAGATGGGAAAATACAGTAGGAAACTGGATAAGGACCAAAATGACATTTGACATTGCAGCTAGTTCCTCCCGGCAGCATTCCTCAGGGAGCACATGATTGGTACGTGTCAACCCCTGTGACTCAAAAGATAAAACGCTTCACTAGCCCAAGCAAAACAGGTCACAAATGTAACCTCAGACACGATTCAGAAAAGCACTCAAGTGTCCTTTGCTTTGTGAGCACTGTAGCATAAGTCAACAGGATGCACAACAGGCACAGGATCTGTTGAAGGCTGCCCATCCTAACTCTGTATTCAATTCCTTATGCCATGGGAGAGGAAAGGAAGTGGTTGTTAGCACAAGTTTGGCATCAATGCAGTTGTAACCTGTTAAACCTGTAACCTGTTTGGATTTGCTCTGTGCAGGATGAAAACATTACAATCACAAACACATTTTACCTACAGGAGTCCAGCTTGAGAGGACTCCTTTTTTTGCCAGTGCAAAAAAACCTTGTTAAAACAAGTCACTCAATGTCAATTTTATTACATCATGTTATAGCTGTGTAGTTACATTTGGTGATTCTGTACATGCTTCAGCACCTTGTAGGGAGATACATTGTGGGCTGGTCTCCTGTTTGCCATGTCCCTCCCTGGCTGAAGCCCCAGCTCTCTGGCACAGTCCCAGAGCTGACTTCACACTAACGTGGCGAGAGCCTGGATGTTGTGGGAGCTTTCAGAGGTCCTGTGAACAGCATGGTGGTTTCTGATGTTTCTGTCCTTAACACTGACTTTGGGGCTGTGCTGAGCCTTGGCCACATGGCTCTGGAAGGCTCTGACAGTTCGGACAGCACGGATGCAGACCACAAAGCTGGCAAAGTACAAGCAGGAGGCAACGGCACCGAAAAGGCCCACGGCTGCATCACCGCCCTGGACCACGCAGTTCATGGAGGTGTAGCCGCGGCGCGCGTACAGCCTCTCACGCCTCTTGCAAACTTCTGTGGAGTTCACCTGGCTGACAAAATGCAGGTAGAGGCCCACTGCCACAACGTACGCTGTGCCAGCCAGCAGGTTGAAGGCACACTCACCTACCAGCAGCCCTGTCTTGAGCTGCTGGATGGGCTTTGCCCCCACGACAAGGAAGACAAGGGTAAGTACTGCTGCTGTTAAGCTGAAGGCTACGCCGCCATACACACAAGGAGCTCTCATCTGGGTGATCTGCATGTCCAGCTCCCTCACCTCCTGGAGCTCTGTGCCCTCAAAGGGGCTATAGGCTGAATTCAGGCTAAAGGATCCAAAGCCTCCAAGGGATGTGAAGCCTGCAATAGAGGCTTGGGAAGCTCCCACACAAATCAACACCAGGAGGTTAACCGTGATTTCCACAAACTTCAAAATGCCTGTAAGGAGCAGAAAGAAGGGAATAGGTGTCAAAGCCACATCTTCTGCACAGACTGTGGGTGACAGAAGCACACCAAAAACATGGACAGAGGGCGCTAGTACTGAGAGAGTCCTCTTAGCTACAGCTACAGAAGAAGCCTGAACTCTCGTGGACATTTCAGAAGTTGGGCAAATTACTTTTTTTAATTTGTCAGTGTGCCTGATAGATGGATCTTCATCCAGGGAAAAAAAAAATAAAAATTTTACTGTGCTTGCGTTATTGCCAAGGCAAGTGCACAGTGACTGTATTTTGGCCCGTAACTACTTGGCATAAACACACTGAGCAAGAAATATCCAGTGTGAACAAAATGCTGAGGTTAAAGCTGACAAAAACCCAGAAGTTTCTAATGGCTTGAAAAATTGTACAAGTTATTTAGGTCCTTTAAAACGTTTACTGCTTTAGCTTACACCCTCTTTTGTCTAAGTGTCTGTTAATTTAAATGTATTATCTAACCAGATATAACTTGCACTTCATCTCCTTCAGAGGCAAAAATCTCTTCATAAATCTGACGAAGCAGTTCCTGATCGCACAAAAAAAAAAAAAAAAAAAAAAAGAAGAAGAAGGTGAAAGAGACAAAAACCACCATGTGAAGATCAGTGAATTTGATACTAGGTCATGTGTTCTCTTCCACACCTGCACATTCAGAAGAAAGCCTTATCTGATTATTCTGTGACAGCTCACTAGGGGTCAGACTAAGATTAGTAAACATGACGGATGTTGAAGTGTAGCATAGACAGAGCTGCCTACTGGGGAAATGAAACCCCCTATCATGCCAGGCTTGTCGCTCCAAAGTTCTGAAGTTAGTTACAGAATTGTGAATCTTATTATTCTGTTGCTGTCTGACAGCCAAGAATGTTAGATGCTCGACACAGTGGTCCTATATTTGTCTTTAAAGTGGGGCAGGATCTGTGGTTTGCATACAGACTTTCATTTTATGCTGCTAACATTGATCCACATGGCATTTCCTCATGAGCAATGGCTCAGTTGCTGTCAAGGCTGTATGGGCTTGAAAAGAAAGGGCTGAAGCAGAGCAGCAACGCAAGGGAATTAAACAAATTTCTCTCTTGTGTTGCCAGATGCTTCCAACCAAAGAAAACCAGTGACAGCCACCATGAAGGATTATCGGATATTCCTACTCTGCCCCTTCTTGCTCCCTCCACAGAGTGTTGAGGTAATGAGCCCTTTCCTGCTGCTGCTTGCTCGGCACAAGAAAGTACTTGTGGCTGTTTGACAAGGGCCTCTGGCCACTTCAGGATCTCCTGCTTCCCCGTGTATCCAGGCTGGTCCCCTTACTTCTGCTAACGCAGCTGTAGGTCAGTACTGAGCCCATTCACATCATGGCCTTGAAAACCATCCCAGAAGCACGAAGGGGAGCAATGATAATGGTGGTAATACCTAGGAATAGAGTAACTGAAACTCAGCATGTTTTACTCTGCTTGTATATGTATATACAAGTGTATATGTACACAGATTTCACCTAAAAAGATTTAGGCAGAGAAGGCAGAGCAGAAAAAAATGCTCTTTTTCAAGAGGAACTAAGTGTGCAGTTGTATGTATGTGTTCTTCAGAGGTGATGCTGATTTCTGCATGACAATGTGCCTCTTCTTTGACCCTTCTGCACAACAATTTCTGTGAATCAGGGCAATAACTGTGCTAGTCACTAAATCTGTTCAGGAGCTTCAAATAATTCAAAGGAAAATATCTGTGGAGCTAAATGAAAAGCGAAATTTGAATCTTGGTCCATGAGTGAAGATTTGGAACTCTTTGTACCATTGCAAACAATGCAGCCAAAAGATTCAATATTTTGTAGTAGATACAGAGTCATTGCTTTACTAGGACTGTTCATAGTATTTTGAAAGAGTAGTGTGTATACAGGACATTAACTGGAACTCAATCAGATTTTTTTTGTCTGCTCAGTTGATTTGTACATTGTACCTTCCAAATACAGGGAGTCAGCTTAGATAATCAGGGCCCTTGGATGGTGTTGGATGCAGAAGGGCACTTCCCTTTTTAAAGGCTGACTACTTGATTTCATAGATGCTCCATCAGGAAGCAGTTCTTACAAGTCTACAGGGAGGAAAGACCATTTGATTAAGGGAAACATAAATTTTAAGTATGTTTGGGAACTTGGTAGTTGGGAATTCATGACCAGTCAGCTTTCTTCTACTGCTGACTTCAGAATTTCCTCTTCGTCTATGACTACTGAGGCCCTCTGACCTACTGAGCATCAACATTTCCTGTACATCACCTTACTGAGCTTTAGAAATGGCAATTTTCTGTTGTCAAAGTAGTTGACATCACCTGTTACTAACCTCCCCTCATTTATAACTGACCCCAATCCTCAATGACACTGCTCCAAAACTTTCTACATGTTCACACACGTTCTGTATGCAACCCCCTAACTGCACTGAGCTGACTGCTAATGGGACAACAAATATGATCAGTGTAGGTCTACTGTATTTTTAACTGCAGCATTAGATGCTTTAATGGCATGGCTGAAAAATTTCCTTACACAGGGCATTCAGGTTGGACAGGTTTTGTATGCACCTGTACACTTGTCACACATGCCTGCTGTAGAATTGATTAGAGTAACTAAACAACAGAGAGAGGTTCATTAGCAGCTACTCCACCCGTTATTTTTATCACATGGATTTACTTTTTTTTATTTTTTTTTAAGTGCAATAACAAAGACTCCTGTATTAAAGAAAATCCTAAAATGATAAGCAGTATGTAGAATGAATTACAGGCCTGCAATGACAGCCAGCAGTTTTTGTGAAAGTATCAGACAATTAGTGGAAATCCCTAAGGCCTTGTACAATCATCAGGGCTTTGATGGAAATATTATGGTCAGACCCCAAAAGCCTTGTGCAACCTTGTTCTGTGACAGTTACAAGCTGATCCCAAATCCTACTATACTAATATAAACAGGATAGACAGATTTAAGAAATAAGGAATAAAAGGACAGTTAAGTTTTGAACCTTAGCTCTGCCAAAGTATTGTAACATACATCCTAGCAGTGACCTATGTCAAGCAGTGTACTGCTGGCAGAAAGGATTGAGTTACAAGCCATGCTTCTGAGTCAGTGCTGCCATTTCTGCTTTCAAAGGCCTGTTAACTATGTCATCTTAGAATTATACCTGCAGCAACTAGACAGCCAAAAGGTCTTCCTTCTGGGGAAGTTACTTATCTCTGCAATTATTCCATAATCACACACAACAACAAATGCATTGCAAGATTTGAGTGTAAAATGACAGGAGGTCTGAACATCTCCAAATTCCATTGGTTATTTTTTCTCCTTTCTCAAGTTCAAAATCTTTAGATCTATCTAAAATGTTAGGCGTTTGTATTAAAATCAGCACAGTGAACAGCTGGCTTCAGGAACTAACCCTCTCCTTACTGAGCAAGTTACAAGACTCAAGTCAGGGCTCCTGGATTACTATTTCCTTTCCTATGCTTCTTTCCTGCACGGCTTTTCAGCACTGAAGGTGAGGAGAATGGCTGCAATCTAGAGGACAGTGGATGTTGCTAGAGTTTTCCAAAGAATTGTTTCATTCATTCCATAAAATCTAAACCTGCAGTGAATAGTAACTTCAATGTATCATACTTGTTAATTTTGCTTGAATCTGGTCATCTTTTGCTGTGAGTAGGCTTACTGCTATAACAAACAGCAGCCTTCTAATATATACTATTAATCTACTGTTCGCTTTTTCTTTCCCTTTCTTTTCCCTGCTGGGCTATTGCCATCATATCAACCTGCAGAACAATGGTTTTATCTTCTGTCAAATGGTGGGCTCAAACATGCAGCAAAGCAGCCAGGCAGGCCGGTAAGGGTACAGACCTACAGGCAGCTGACTTTAACAGCTCCTACTCTTGACTGGGCAGTCACTACTTTTCTCCCCTACCTCCTCCAGCTTCACCTTAGGCCCTTCCAAGAGCTGTTTAAATAAATTAAAATAGCAGGAAACGATTCAACTCTCTTCTTGTGTGGTGCTGTTTTTTTCTGCAACTTTAGCAACTTGAAGTGACTCAGAGCGTACCTGATGAGCAATTACATTGGCATGAGTTTAGCAGTGGAAATAACACAGCCGGGACCAGAGAAAGACCAGAAATTCTCCTCAGGTGAACTGTTAAATCTGTGTGCTCTGCCTCATAAAACTACACTGTGGCTGAATGTGTGGTACCCAGTAACTCAAGTCTGCGCTCGTGTCTCACACATTAGAAGCTATAAAGAGGAATTTTCATCCAGGCACTGTGGCAGGATGGCCCTGATGTTCAGGTGTGGGGCTCATGGTGTATGTACACACGTGCACATAAGATAAAATGGTCAATTCATGTTAATTCCTTTATTTCTGCAGCTCCTATAAATGAGTCTGCAGGACAGACAGTCCTGGCTGTTTCTGTTGAACACCCCTGACCCCATCAGGGCCCAGCTAATAGAGGAGGCCTTCAAAGCGTCTCCCTCCACTGTATCTGGCACAGTAGTCACTGTCTTCCTCTGTTGACTGCACATGGACTCCCTCCTGTCTCTTTGGTATTATTCCCTCCTCTTCAGTGAACATGCCTGTGTACTTCTAAGATACTCTATGTTTATCATTCTCCATTCTGGCTTGCTTTCTCCCTCTGCTTCCTTTGCAGACCACCTACCACTGGGACCAGTAGGACACAGCTGGCAGCCCTGTCAGTGTCTGGCTGCCCCTCTCAGGCACCTGGACCCCAGTTGCAGGGCTGGAGATACACAGGTCAGTGGTGCCCGATCCCATTAGGGGTCGCTCCAGGAGAAGGGAAGAAAGGAGTTAGAAGCTACAAAATGTGAAAAATCATTCTCTCAGCTTTTTTCACTGAAAGTTCTCATTAGTTTTTTTTTTTTTTTCCAGTTTGGGTAGCTTTCTGCTTTTCAGAGGTAATCTTCCTTTTTTTTTTTTCCTGCAAAGGAGCAGACAAGTATTTTGACCATATATA